AACGGAAAAGCAGTTTTTATTGCTTATGGATTATCAGAACATTTCAAAGGGGACACAGACACATTGGATTAACCTATGGATTAACTACACCATTCTTTTTATTGTTTTAATGCCATTGAAGACCAGTTTTGACCAGACCTAAGACCAAGGTAAACCATGTTATCGTTTTGGGCTACCTAGCGCCACATGTTTTGATGTAGGTTTTTGTTATTTTCTCCGCAAATTTGTAATCTTTGAGTGTTGAGGTGGGTACCATTAGATCCTGTTTCTCCTTACGATCACACACGATGTGTTGATTGTGCAGCTAGGATAAGTAATAAGGGGAGTGATCTTCAGTGCAGTAATAGGTTAGCAATTTTCGCTCGGGGCTAATTCAGAGGCTCACTGTTAGCATTTTGAGCTTCAAAAAAAAAGAAAAAATGAAAAAGATCACTTAAATGAGTTTTATTAAATATAGTTTATTAAATATTTTGGTTCCTTAGACGTTGTTTCCTGCAAATTACGCGATTTCGGGCCCGGATACGGGTCAGTGGGGCTTTAGACAACAAGCAGTATCAATATTTAAATAAATACAGGCTTTACAACAGCTTACCAAGCTGTCAGGCAGGTATTAATATTTCTCCTTTTTGAAAGCACCTCTGGAGGAGCAAAGCCTGTTTTGCTTTAATCATTTACTATGCAAATGTTAAAATTGCTCAGATGTAATAGTCTGAATTCTTAATTAGAGTGAATACTATCTTAAACCTCATGATGTCCAGGTTTGAAATCACCCTGAGAGGAAATAAAAAGCGATTAAGTGGCACGTTCCCCCCCCCCACATCACACAACACACCAAAGAGGAGCTGTCATATTCTAAATTACTCCAAAAGTGCTCCAAAGTTAGAGCTCAGGATGGCTGAAAAGGCAATAAGAGAGGAGGAGAGCTACAGAAATCAACGTGTAAAATATAAAAGATAACAGCTCAACATAGCTGTACAGCAGGGGTGTCAAACTTAGGACCTTCCATATCAAGAACGACTGCAAAGTCTTAAGGTCCCGAGTATGTATAGAAGGGCGAGGGGAGATGATTGAAGTTTTCAAATATCTCGACAACATCTACAAAACATCATGCCCACTACAACGGGATTATAACACCAGGACTCGTGGACACTGCCTTAGGTTGAAGAAACAGTACTCAAGTAGTATCCGCCGCAACTTTTTCAGCCTGCGTGTGGTTGACTTGTGGAATGATCTGCCAGAAAGCGTTGTCACATCCAAGACGGTTAACTGTCTCAAGTCCCGCCTCGACAATTACTGGTCAAACATCACCTTCACTTTGGACTATGTGACTGTTGCCAGCATCCATAGTATATAAAGAACAGTGATCTACTTATTTATGAGCAACTAAAAGGCCTTAGGCCTATTACAGCCGTATCCTATTGATTGATTGAAACTCAAGGCCCGGGGGCCAAATCCGGCCCGCAACTTCATTTTATGTGTCCCGCAAGAGCTTGCAAAGAATATAATACGTTTATTATACGGTTACATGCTACTTTACAGTATATCTATATATGTTCATTTTAATTCATTTCTTATTTTATAGTTATTTATCTTACATTTTTTTAATCTTTGATTTATCCTTAATTTTATTAATCTGTGAGAATCTGTGGCTTCCTGTTTTTCAATCTTACCCTGTTGCTGTTAAGGCACGGACACAACAGGCCGATTATCGGCGTCGGTGGGCGTCGGTGGGCGTCAGGCCGACGATGAGCGTCGACACGCCCTACTCAGATTGGTGTGTCCCGCACCGTCGGGTTGTTTCAGCCGTGCCGACGCCTTTTCGGCCGAAAACCCAGCGATTCAACATGTTCAATCGGTGGGCAGTCGGCAAAATAAATCACTCTGATTGGCTGTTCAGCTAGCGAATCAGTGCATGAAAAGTGAAACGGAAGTGAGGGACCCAAACAAACTATTAAGAAGGCAAATCTGAGATTTCATTTAACTCCAGCTNGGAGTTGCTGTTTTTCTCAATCAGTCAGTGCTAGCTCTCAGACATGCTACATGGTGTGAAGGAAAGGGGGTTTATTCTGCTCTGTTGGTTATGAAAGTCCTGTTTTAGTATTGGCTGCTTTCGTCATTACAAGACACAACGCTAAATCAAATGGAGAGATAAGCATGAGAAGGGCCATTCCAGCTTGGCTAATTTGGGCTGTTGACTTGTAGCTACACAGCTTTTAATTGAACCTTATTCATATATTAAAACTGCACCGTAACTTTCTATTCATGATTTTTTCTTTTAATGTTTATTTTATTAATCTTTGCTTTTTAATGACTTGCCTTGCCTTACACAAGGAGGAACTGTAAAACTGGTTCTGGATTCATTGTCTTTGGCTCAAGGACACTTCAGCAGGGTATAGTATAACCACTTGTATGTGAACCTGAACCAACATCTTACCGTCGTCTTGTGAAGTGAGAACTGATCCCTCTGTGCCTCACTATACCACAAAGCTGCCCTGTCATATCTTTTAAACATCGATCAGTGGTTTCCCACAGCAATTTGATATTATCCTCTCTTTCCAGACTAGTGGCAACATAGTAGAAGAACATTAAAAAATATATATAATATCAATGAACTCTGAAAACTGAAAAAGTAGATCAGTTCGATTGTTTCTTGATACCATCATTACACTTTATTTTGGCCAGTTTATTTCAGTGGATACGTGTTCCTTCCTGTGGATAGAAGAGAAGGTTTTTAACAATGTCAGTAAGGCAGGAATTTGTAGGAGGTTGATTCCTTACTCTTAATAATATTAAGACTGGCATATCCGGCCGCAACTTTTTCAGCCTTGCGTGTGGTTGAACTTGTGGAATGGTCTGCCCAGAAAGCAGTTGTCA